AGATACGCATCCCCCTCGTGCGGTTCTGAGCCCAGAAAAGCCCCAAGACGCGGCAAGAGTGCCCATAGAGGCCCCCATGACGGCCCTCGGGGGCTCCGAATCGCCGAACGATCGGTCCAGCACGCCAACATAGCCTCCAGGCGGCTCAATCAGTTTTCAAAACGCCCCAAGAAGCCTCCAAGAGCACTCCCATGAGAGCCCCAAAGGGCAAAAATCATCGATGCCCCTTAAGTTGCTTAAAGATGTTGGCGTTCTCGCCTTGTCGGCTCCCCAGAGGCCCACAAGATCGCCCAAGAGGCCTCCAAGAGGGCCCCAAAACGAGCCAAGAGGGCCCCGAGACCGCCCCAGAGGCCTCCAAGACAGTCCAAGAGGCCCCCAAAACGGCTGCAAGAGGGAGCCCAAACGGGGGATCCGAACGGACATTTCGAGCCCTCGGTCTGAGAGGCTCCCAGGAGGCCCCAAGAGGCCCCCAAGACGCCACCCCCAAGAGGCCCCAAGAGGCCCCCAAGAGAACCCCAGAAAGCCCCAAGAGGCCCCCACGAGGCTCCCAAGAGGCCCCCAAGAGCCTCCCAAGAGACCCCCAAACTACGCACAATAGGCCCCCTTCGTCGTCGTCGTCGTCGTCGTCGTCGTCGTCGTCGTCGTCGTCGTCGTCGTCGTCGTCGTCGTCGTCGTCGTCGTCCTCGTCCTCGTCCTCGTCCTTGTCCTCGTCGTCGTCGTCGTCATCTTCGCCGCCGCCGCCGCTGCCGCCGCCGCCGCCGCCGCCGCCGTCGTCGTCGTCGTCGTCGTCGTCGTCGTCGTCGTCGTCGTCGTCGTCGTCTTCGTCGTCGTCGTCGGTGTCGTCGGTGTCGTCGTCGTCGTCATCGTCGTCGTCGTCGTCGTCGCCGCCGCCGCCGTCGTCGTCGTCGTCGTCGTCGTCGTCGTCGTCGTCGTCGTCGTCGTCGTCATCGTCGTCGTCGTCGTCGTCGTGGTCGTCGTCGTGGTCGTCGTCGCGGTCATTGTCGTTCAGAGTCGGCGGCACCAGCCGTAAGGCCTCTCCAATACACCAGTAGTGCAAAAGAGGAGCTGCGTAGAGCTGGAAGACATATTCTCCAGATGCACGGAGTACCCCGCAGTCTCGCCGACGCTCTCGCCGCGCTCCTGCGCGACGCGGTGCGCCAGGCCGAGTGCCGACAGCTTCCGTGGCTGCGTGACCAGGACGCTGACTGTGGGGCCACCCTCCTCGACGAGGAACTGCGGGATCTGCGTCGACTTGCCGCACCCGGTCTCGCCCACCACCATGGTCACCTGGTGCTTGCCGACGGCCTCGAGCAGCTCGGCACGCTTTGCCCATGCGGGCAGGCCCTGCCGCGCCGCCAGCAGCGGGGTCTGCGGAGGGCCGCCGCCGGCGGCGCCCGACGCCGCGCCCTTCGGCGAGGCCTTCTGCCTCTTCGACTGCCTGCCCAGCAGCTTCGACACGTCCTCGGGGCTGACCGCCAGGAGCGGCGCGCCCTCCGCGAGCGCCTCGATGTTGCCCGCCCGCGAGGCGTGGACGACCAGCGGGTGCTCCAGCGCCTCCCACGCCTCCTTGGGCAGCCGGAGCCGTGGCGCCCTCGGAGCCACCAGGCCGCGCCTGCTGGCCTTGGCAGGATCCCTGGTCACAGTGATGAAGCGGCCGTCGCCTTTGCCTTTGGAGATGTGCTGCAGCCCGAACTGCTCGGACACGTGGTGCACGTACTTCCGCTCCTCCGCGGACAAGCAGCTGGGGAAGTTGACCGAGGCGGTCGGGTCCGCCGAATCTACAATGCGGTTCAACTTCGCTGCCACGTCCTGCCGGAATGACTCCGAGGTCGTCATGCACACCTGCCTAGGGCGTGCGGCCGAAAGAAGCAGACGATCCGAGCCCAAAGTGCTGCAGAGAGTGGTGGACGTAGATGCTGCGAGCGCGATGGTACGAATCATGTTGTGGGGTACTCGCGCGACTGCAACGATGCAAGTCTGTGACTCCGACCGCACTTGCAGCAAGCGAGCAGGCCGGCAGCAACTCGAAATGCAAGGAGTTCGTTACTCGACGGCGTGGAAGCGAAGAGCCTGGAGCACACAGCCGACATCCCCCTCACGGCTGAGGAGACAGTGAGCCCCTGGTCGCTACGGGCTCTCCCGCCGCACTCTGCCTGCCAAGGTCTGGCTGCTGCTGGTGGGCCAGAACATGCCTCCTCCTGCTGGGCCAGGATGTGATTGCAAGTGCGCACGCGGTGCCAATGTGGACAGGTGCAATGTTGCGTAGACGCGACCGCAAGGCTGCTGTACGGAAACGGTGTTATAACGGCTGTGAAACCATGAGGCAAACAAATCACAATCCTACGAAACGATACAGGTATGAGCCGGTGTGGGGCAACCAACCAACTGGCAATGGGCCTAAGTCCCAGTGGAAGCAATGAACCGTGAGCCCGTCCCACAGAAGAACTGTGGGCCAATACGGGGCCCACGTCGTGGTCCGTGAGAGCTCGCTGGGTACCCCAGCCAAGGACAAGAAACACCCCCGCTCGGACCCCATAGAGCATCATTTCAGCGCCCCCTATCGAAGAATTCATCCGTAAATCATGGGCAATAACAGAACGCAGCGAAATACAACACAGAGCCAGCGCCACACTGGGCTACCGCGAGACACCACATGATACCAAACTGCAACACCATGCGAACAACTCTGCAAGCCTGGGTGCGCTGGAGGTATTTCGTTTCCGCAAGTTCCCCCCCACGTGCGCTTCCTTACTCCAGCACACCCGTCCTCGCTTTACTCCCGCTAGTTTTCGATGACGTTCTGCCGCCTCAAGCGAAGTGACAGCATCTCCATGTTTAAAGGACGATGCTACGTTTGAAGCATCGTGACTGACACCGCAAGGTGCCGGTAGGAAAACAACGGGGGCGCCACGCGACGCCGTGAAACACGCCGGGAAACCACAAGGAAACCACAAACGCATCGCACGGCACAACCGAAACATTGTCAGGACGCTGCGAACCCTAGATGCCACTTGATTCCACCAGCACAGCGCCAAGACACCACCCGAACACGGGAACGCAAATCACGAACGCACGCCATCAGGCCAGCCTGAACCAAAGGTGACATGAGCAGGGAAGCGGGACGACGAATATTACACAACGCGGAAGGGCGGATACACGCGATACGAACCATATCACGGACCTGAAACAAACAGGCAATGGCACACCAGGCGGCACATCATCAGACCGGCGAACACAACAACCAGTCCCTCCAAAGCCGTTTTTGTCAACGGCGTGGGCCCCTCGATGAAACGATCGACCACGCCCCAAAACGTCAGTGTTCGTCGCAGGCTGTTTGCCCGACGGCCCAGGCCCGAGAACGGCCCACAGGAGTCCCAGATCTGTTTGATCATGCAGCGGCTGTCGTAGTTTTTCCGCGACGTCTGAAGTCGCGGTGGTTCATGAGGGAAATGTCCGCCGTTGCGGGGCACCCCGATCGTGTCAGCTTGTAGGTTATAAATAACAAAAACGAGCCAGGGGTGTGATTATGAGCAATTATTCCCCTGCTCGGCCGAATCGCGAGAGGGTGCCCGCCAAATGGGAACGCACCACGGCGCCGCCGGTGATTAGCGCCGACGTCAGACCGCCAGCGAGAGAGCGACAGGCGAAGAATCCCCTCCGCTGCAGCCGAGCGCTCGGGCCAAAACGGCCACGGACTCGTGGGGAGGAGGATGCGGGAGGGAGGGGCGGCAGACGCAGTGACCGTCGCTGCCGCTGCCGTCGCCCTCCCCACCGCCGCAGTCGTTTCCCAGCTCTGCTCGCGGGGTCCCCCTGCGGTGCTGCCAGGAAGCCAATCCGTCGCCCTGGCCAGAGCTTCTCTCGCCGTGGCGGAAACAGGCCCTCCGGGAAGCGGGCCCTGGACTCTGGAGTTCCCGCCAGGACCAGTTCCTCCTCCTCCTCATCTTCATCATCATATCATTAGTAGTGTTAGTAGCATTGTTATTTCTATTATGATGTTCATTCGAATTATCATCATTCTTCTTAGTGCTACTAAGATTCCTGATCGTATTCTGCATAATTTCTTTTATCTTCAAGTTATTCGCATTCGTCTTCTGATTATTATTCGTGTTCGTCTTCTTAATGCTATGTTCCTTTGTATGATTCTTCTTCTTATTAATAGTATCATTATTCCTACTGTTATCATTATTACTAGTCGTCCTCCTCCTCCTACTCCTCCTCCGTCGCGCCCTTATGGAGATGAGGGCGGAAAATGAGCTTTGTAAATCAGAACTCCTGGGGTCAATCAAGCTGGCGTCTGGCACCAGCCACGCGCCAAGGGAAAAAACGCGACGGCGACCACTCGGGAAAACGCCGGCCGGACGAGCAACGAAATCAGGGCCCCTACGGAACCTCGAGCCTCGAGCGACGCACGCTCACAAGCCTAATGCAGCGGGCAGCGCGCACTGCAGGGCCCGCGATCGAACGAGGTCGCTTGCCCTTGGGCGACGCATATATTCACATGCGCAGAGCTCACACGTGCACTGCGCTGCACTGTGCGGGCGCGCCCCCCCTTGGAAGCGGCGCGTCGTTCATGCCGTTTGCCCTCATTCGCGGCGCGGTGGCGCCCCGAACCCTGGCGCGCGCGACTCGAAAAATAGTTTCAGCGCTGGGGGGTGTCACTTATTGATCACAGGGTGGTATTGCCAACCCGTACCAAATTGGCTACCAGAATGAGAGCACAACGGACAGCGGATGCTCGGTGTGACTTGATGCGGTTTGGTTGCGGATGCGAGGGTGAAACTTGCTCTCTGAGAAGCGTGAGGCTACTTCCATCGCGTCGCCCTTCGGGACTGGGTTGCACCACGATTCCACCTCATCAGCCTGTTCCTTCTCCTCCTTCCCCTTGCCCTCCCCCTCCTCCTTCCCCCTCCCCCTCCCCCGCCCCATTCGCTTTCACCCCCCACCCTCCCTCCCCTTCCCTCCTCCCCTCGCCCCTTTCTTCCCACTTTCCCTCCCGCTCCCTCCTCCGTCCACCCCCGCTCCCCCTGCACCTCGGCCTTCACCCTTACCATCGCGACGACGCGCCCAGAGTTTTCAACGCCCCTTGCCGCAAGCAGCCTGGCCAGCCGTCGCCGGGCACCCTCGAGCAGCATGAAAGGCAGGGCAGACAACGAGGAGGCAGCGAAGACAGAGAGAGAACAACCTCCGAAGACCTCTGGAGGCCTTCAGAAGTCGCCAGTCCCCGGAGGTCTCCAGAGCAACAGGAGGCGTCCGGATGCCCTTCGAAATCCAACTCCGCCCAAAAGTCTCGACCTTCGATCCTAGATGTGGTCTCCTGCTTGAGCGGCCACAGGCTTGCCCCGTCCGAGTAGCCGCCGACGGTGACGGGGTCCAAGTAGTCGGGGTTGTCGCTGACCACCCGAGCCTGTGCGGCAGCGCCGAGTTGTCACAGGCGTGGGCGCGTGCTGATTATGCGGCCTTCCAGATTCTCGCCTCGGAGCTACGCGACAGCGATGTCATGAATTACCTCGCTTCTTCTCGGGCCGAGCAATGCCCCACACGTGAACCTGATACACTCCCTGCCCGCGGTCAAATCAGGCTCAACGCCAAGGCCTGAAAGAACCATTCAGGCAAGGCTTACTTGTCGACAGTCATGGACGGTGCGGAACAGGACAAAAAGGACGAGACTGGGGAGGAAAAGGAGATGATCATGATACTCACGATGATGGATGATGATGGTTGTGATGAAATGATGAAATGATGATGGTGATGATGACGATAATGATAATGATGATGATGATGATGATGATGATGATGATGATGATGATGATGATGATGATGACGATGATGGTGATGATGATGATGCTGCTGATGATGATGATGGTGATGGTGATGGTGATGGTGATGATGCTGATGATGCTGATGATGATGATGGTGATGGTGATGGTGATGAAGATGGTGATGATGATGATGAGGATGAGGAGGAGGAGGACGATATGGGAGAGGAAGAATAATACTAGCAGTAGGGGCAGGAGCAGAAGAAGGCGATGAGAGCGCGAAAGCGGAGGAGTCCACGCGACAAGCATGTCAATGCTGCTCACCTGCGCGATTCCACAGCCTACCAGAACGTCATCATAACAGACTACGAAGCCATACCTGTTCCAACAACCACCAGACGATGATAACTGCACCAACAGTCAGCGCTGCGTATTACTGCAGCAACGCTGTCTCTCAGCCAGCAAAGAGGAATGCCTGGCCAGCGATGAAGACTAAACGAAAAGAGGGGAGCAAAGGAGGAAAGGGGAAGAATGGAGCAGAGTACTGGGCGGCTCCCCGAAGGCAAAACGACTGACACCCCTTTTCCACAACGCAACGCGCGGGATACCTAAAAAACGACCCGAATTCGGATCATGCCAGAGGCGCAGAAGGAGTAGAGAGGGGAAGAGGAAAGGAAGGGGAGGAGGAAGAGGCAGCGAAGAAACCAGCACTGGGGCAGAGGAAGAGGAGGAACAGACAGAAAATGAAGGGGAGGAGAGAGAGAGGCAGCGAAGAGGAATGGGGAGGAAGAGGCAGCGAATGGGAGGATCGCGCACCAGCTGGAACCACGCATTAAGCTGGGCTGATGCGGCAAATCCGCCACCAGCAGGCGACGGTGACGGTGACAGCCCAGGCTAGGAACGACCCCCATCATGGAAGCGGCTCGCAGGGCCAGGCTGCGGCGGCGGCAGCGACGACGACGACGATGATGACGACGCGACGACGACGGCGGCGGCGGCTGCTGCGGCAGCAGCAACGACGACGACGAAGACGGCGACGGCGACGGCGACGGCGATGGCGACGGCGGCGGCGGCGGCAGCAACGACGACG